ATATTTTATTATTTTTTCAGCCTCATTCTTATCACAAACTGCCCTCATTTGCATATTTTATTATTTTTTCAGCCTCATTCTTATCACAAACTGCCCTCATTTGCATATTTTATCTCTTTGTATAACCTCACTCTCATCATAAACTACCCATCATTTGCATATTTTATTATTTTTGTTCAGCCTTCTCTCATCACAAACTACCCTCATTTGCATATTTTATTATTTTTTCAGCCTCATTCTTATCACAAACTGCCCTCATTTGCATATTTTATTATTTTTGTTCAGCCTTCTCTCATCACAAACTACCCTCATTTGAATATTTTATTATTTTTTCAGCCTCATTCTTATCACAAACTGCCCTCATTTGCATATTTTATAATTTTTTTCAGCCTCACTCTCATCACAAACTACCCTCATTTGCATATTTTTTGTCAGCCTCACTCTCATCACAAACTACCCTCATTTGCATATTTTATCTCTTTGTATAACCTCACTCTCATCATAAACTACCCATCATTTGCATATTTTATTATTTTTGTTCAGCCTTCTCTCATCACAAACTACCCTCATTTGAATATTTTATTATTTTTTCAGCCTCATTCTTATCACAAACTGCCCTCATTTGCATATTTTATTATTTTTTCAGCCTCATTCTTATCACAAACTGCCCTCATTTGCATATTTTATCTCTTTGTATAACCTCACTCTCATCATAAACTACCCATCATTTGCATATTTTATTATTTTTGTTCAGCCTTCTCTCATCACAAACTACCCTCATTTGCATATTTTATTATTTTTTCAGCCTCATTCTTATCACAAACTGCCCTCATTTGCATATTTTATTATTTTTGTTCAGCCTTCTCTCATCACAAACTACCCTCATTTGAATATTTTATTATTTTTTCAGCCTCATTCTTATCACGAACTGCCCTCATTTGCATTCTTTATTATTTTTTCAGCCTCATTCTTATCACAAACTGCCCTCATTTGCATATTTTATCTCTTTGTATAACCTCACTCTCATCATAAACTACCCATCATTTGCATATTTTATTATTTTTGTTCAGCCTTCTCTCATCACAAACTA